GCTTTCTGTTGAAGGGACTTTGTATCTTTGCTGTGTAAATGTGGTTTCTAAGGCCATCAGTTAGGGACATCTTCTAGTAGCTGTGCTGAAAAAAATTAAAAAAAATTTTTTTTTAAATTTATTATTTTATGTGTATGTAGGTATGCCTGCATGTAGGTAAGTGCACCTGTGTTGTGCAATGCCCGCGGAGGTCAGAAGAGGCTGTCAGATCCCCTGGGACTGGAGTTATGGACAGTTGTTAGCTGCCATGTGGGTGCTGGGATTCGAACCCGGGTCTTCTGCAAGAACAACCAGTATTCTCAACTGCTGAGCCATCTTTCCAGCCCCTTGTCTGGTTTTTAAACAAAACATTAGATGTTATTGTGGACTTAAAGGAAAGGACAGAAAGCAATGCACAGTAGTGGCATGTTTGGAATGCAAAGTATTTAGATTCAGTGTGATCAGGTTATAGATTTTTTTACTTAGGAGCACTATTTTTTTTTTTTATTGAATTTTTGTGTATTTCATATAGGACATCTCAATCAGTCTTAATCATCTTTATATCCCCTTCCCTGCTGGCACCCTCCCATACCCCACCCCACTGGAATTCCTACATTCTGTCATTAGTTTTAAGGCCTATTATGTTAAATTAGTGTCCCCACATGTCTCTTAGTGCAAGTTCATCTACTGAGATCTAGTCAGCCTATCTAGAGTTTCTCCCTTTAGGAAAATCAGCTCTTCCTCACCCAGCAGTAATCAGTTGCCAGTATTTCTTCAGCTAACATTGGGGTCAGCTGTCCATTTCCCAGTTCAATGCTGTGTTTTTGTCCAAGTTTGCCTGGGTCCTGTGCATGTGGATACCATTACTATGGAAGCACTGTGTGTGTGTGTGTGTGTGTGTGTGTGTGTGTGTGTGTATTTTTTTTTTGCAAAGATAGTAATACAACTTTTTGGGTTTAGATCACAGCTACTCTTAGTAATATATTAGCTATGGTGTGCACTGAATGAAGCCCTTACAAGCTAATTCATGAGCTTATATGTCTTTCACAGGTGCATTCATTTAGTTGTCCAGTTGTCACTGTTTCATAGTTGGAAGTTATGCTTTCATAAACTGAAAACTGCCTGTATTTTGATAGATTGCTTTTTTTTTAATTAAAAAGAGGCAATTTTAAATACATTTTTCTAGAAATAACTTGAAGCAGGTTACATAAAAATATATATACAAGGAAGTTTAAAGAGGGAATATAGGAATCATAAATCAAAGACTAAAGGATTTGTCAATATGGGGTCAACTTTGGTGGAATAATGAAGGTTTCCATTAGCTCTGTTCTTTTTGGAAAACCCTAACGAGTTTATTGAGCTTGCTTAACAGAGCATAGGGTCGGGATTTATTTACAGAAGAGTGTCTCCCCTCCCCTTTACAGCTGTGCTGTAAAGTCCACACTCAAATATAGATCCTGTGACTTCCCGACAGCCCCACAAAATGGCAAGAGAGGTGCCTCATGACATTCTCAGCTTATATAGCCTTAGCCCCTCCCCCATGCAGCTAAGGTTGACTGATTGGGTGGGAGGGGTAACTGACATCCCGTTCCCCCAGTGACTCCTTTAGAGGAGTGTGAAAAGGAGGTGTGACTATAGCTTGCTGGCATAGTGGTCTGAGGACACTTCCAGGTAACACTCCAACCCTTCCTTCGGCTCTTAGACTCTTTCCTCCGACTTCTGCAAAAGTCCCTGTGCCTTGGAGGGGGTGATAGGTATGTGATGATCATCCTCCCATTGTGGTAAGGCACTGGACTTTCAGGTCTCTGCATCATTTTTTTTTTCATGGGCTATTGGCCCATTTCAATGTTATTCCATCTACTATTAACACAAATAGCAAGAAGCAAGAACATTTAAACAGTGACTACTATAATAATTTACCTACGAGTGTAAACATAAATGCTTGGATGGTACTTTAGCAGGTGCATCTCATCCATCTAACAAAAAAATTGCAGTGGCTTCCCCACTGGGACCTATATCCTTCCCTGCCACAGGAAGTTGGCCTGGTCTACAGTACCAGATGTGTGTTTCACCTCAAGGAGCAGTCATTACATCCAACTGAAAATTTGCTGGTTGTATATACACTAGATGTACCACTGTCGTACCAGCAGGAATATCTTGTTTGGTGTGTTGCTAGTGCAGCACTTGGCGTCCGTCGTTGAGCAGAGTTATAGGGACAGTTCTCTCCCAGTCATCTGTATATTCTGGCACAACAAAAGCCACCCATCCAGTGGCACCCGTCCAGTTTCCAGCTTAGTTGAAGCTTGATTTCTCCCTCTTCCATTCTCACATCATGTGGTGTCTTCAGCATAGGGTTTTATCATCCACTTCTGGTGTACAACCAACTTTATTGGCAATGACCTTTTTTGTTTTGTGGACCTCTGGGGCCCCTCTGGCCAACAGCTCATGGGGGGCAACTCACTCTGGCACTGGGAGTTTCATTTAATAACTGTATAGCTTCTGGTAGGGCTTTCTTCCATTCCCATAGGTTTCCTTCTGTGCTTAAGGCTTTTTTTTCTCTTTTTTTTTTTTAAAAAAAAAAGATTCTTACTTTGATTTTATGTGTATTAGTGTATTGCCTGCATGTATGTGAGTGCACCCGTGTCATGCAGTGCCACGGAAGTCAGAAGAGGCTGTTGGATCCTCTGGGACTGGAGTTACAGACAGTTGTTAGCTGCCATGTGGGTGCTGGGATTCAAACCCGGGTCTTCTGCAAGAGCAACCAGTGTTCTAAACTGCTGAGCCATCTCTCCAGCCCTCTTTTTGTTTTTTTAATGTGCAGTTTACATGTGTGTTGTTTGCTGTACCTATATCAATGGACAGAGAATGATTTTTAGTTTGTTAAGTCTTGGATTTTGATAAATTTTTCCTAATTGGTCTTTTAAGTCATCCAACTGATAGTATTTTTTAAAATGAAGAACAGTAAATGTACAAAAGTAGTTTTTTTGTTTATTTTTATTTGTTTTAAAGCTCTTAGTTTGAAGAAAATTATAGAAGCAAGAGCAAGCGAACACCCCAGTAATAAAACAGAACTCAAAATTCTTTTATGTACTTTGAAATTTAATAGCATATGATGATAATGCATCAATTTTCCTCATAATGAGCAAGTAACAGTTTCTGCTTTTAGTTTTAGAAGTATAGCATTGTAGTGGAGGGTGGCAGTGCACACTTTCAGTCCTGGCACTTGGCAGGGTGAGGCTGGATGAGTGAGAATTTGAGGCCAGCCTGGGCTACCTGGTAAGACCTGTATAAGAAGAAATTGTGTAATATTGTACATCAAGAGTGTACATTAATATGAAAGACATTTAAATATTTGTGATCTTATTCCCTTTAATAATGTAATGAGTGTCAGTTTTTTATATATATACTCTCAGATTATGTAATTGTTATGTTCAATGTAAATAAAATATTCTTAGGTATTTTGCTGTATTGCAGTTTTAACCTTTGGGTGATTGTGTAATGTTTCTGTAGATGTTTCGCATTGAAATTGTTTTCCCCTTACAGAGTGCAGTCTCATACTCCTCCCCCACCACATGCATGCACGCACGCATACATATACTTTTACCCTTTTTGGTTGAGCAGTTTAAGATTCTTACAATCGTCTTCTAAATTTATTTATCATTCATTTATTTCAATTATTTTTGGCTATCACTGAGTGGTTCAGGCTGGTCTTTTTAAATATAATTTTTAATTATTTTTATGTGTATGTAAATTGTTTACATATATGTAAGTATACCCTTGTCCTGCAGTGCCTGTAGAAGTCAGAAGAGCACATCAGATCCTCTGGAACTGGAGTTATAGATGGTTATTAGCTACCATGTGGGTGCTGGGAATCTAACCTGGGTCCTCTTCAAGAGCAGCCAGTGCTCTTAGCTGCTGAGCCATCTCTCCAGCCCCCCCCACCCCGATTTTAAAGATGAGGTCTCCCTGTAGCTCCAACTGTCCTAAAACTCACTATGTAGACCATGATGGGCTCTGTGAGATCCCCCTGCCTCTGCCTCCTGAGTGCTGGAATCAAGATGTGTGCCACCACCTTCTGGCTAACCTCTTGTGATCCTCTTCCCTCAGCCCCTCAAGTGCTGGGATTTCAGACATACTTCACTGTATCTGGCTCATATCATTAAAATTTTTGTGTTATGTCTGTCTGTTGTTAGATTAACAGATTTTTGTACTATCCTAAGAGGTTAATAAAATTTAACTTGATGATGTAGCTAAAGTTTTGTATGAGTAAGTATACACTTTACAAGAAAGTGAAATTTAAAAACTAGGTAATGACCATAACACATACTCTGATCAAATATAGGATTTGGTTGTCTATCCTTCTATACTTTTACCTTCTTTTTGTGTCTCCCTTCTGTGGTGCTGGGGATTGAATGTAGGGAGTTGTGCATGCCAGGCAAGTGTCTACCACTAACCTGACCCCTGTACTGCTAATTTAAACTTGAAATTCTTTGGTCTTTTTTTTTTTTTGAGACAGGGACTCCCTATAACCCCAGCTAGCCTGAAACTTGCTAACTTGCTATGTAGACCAGGTTGGCCTGGAACTTCAGAGATCCACTTGCTTCTGCCTCCCCAGTGCTGGTATTAAGGGCACATGGCCACTTTTGAAATTCTTTAGAGTTACTTCAGTGTTGAAAGCTCTGATTAAACTTGAATGGGTTTTTATGCAAAGATGTATGCATTCCTTTGAATCTAGAGAGCTGAAATTATTTATAAACATTACTATGTATACTTTTATTTTTTAAAAAAGAAATAGATGGGTCTCTGTATTTCATCAGTCTTGAAGGATTTATGCCTGAGTAAAATACAGGAGAGACTAGTGTGGAATGTGCTTCGAGAAGACTCTGGGCTTGATTTCTTGTGATTCTGTGGTTATTTCACTCTTTAACAGAAATTTTGCTCACCATCACTGGCTAGTTGCTCCATTCAGATGGAAATCCATTAAAATTCATGTGTGATGTGGTTAAAAAGATAATACTACATATCTGATAATAGGGGAGAAGGTAAGTTGGTGATTTTTGCCAAGTTTAAAACCCAGATTGGAGCTGCTACTTTGTCTTTATGTTATTAACAACAAACATACTGAATTGCATACTGTGGGCTTAGAAAAATTTAATTACCAAGTTTCTGTCAACTAAAGCTATATTAACTTTGTCTCAACGCCATCCTTTTCCCTTTTCCCTTTGTAATTCTTCCCCTTTAAATCCTTTGCTTTTTCCTGACTTCCTAATATTTCATGCCCAGTCCCTATTTTGCCACATTTTTTTCCCTTCTTGTATAACCATTGCCTGTAGATATAATGTGAATTTGAGGTATGTTAATGGATATGTTAATTCATTAAGCACTTATTTTGCCTTTAACAAATAAAAATTGAACATCTTGTAATTTTTCTTTTTTTGTTTTTGGTCTTTTTGAGACAGGGTCTCCCTGTAGCCCCAGCTGTCCTGGAACTCACTATGTAGACCAGGCTGGCCTTGAACTCACAGAGATCCATCTGCCTCTGCCTCCCGAGTGCTGGGACTACAGGTGTGCACCACCACGCCCGGCTGAACATCTAGTAATTTTGAACAAAGTTTAACATTTTAAGGTAAGTGAATCTGACATACCTCTGTATAATTATCTTTAGTTGTTGGATATATTAAATGTAACATGTTTTAATCATACAAAATTGTGATTTTTGACTTTAGTGGAATTGAATTTAAGAAGCCTTAATATTTTATTTACAGGTTTTTTTTTTTTTTTTTTTTTTTTGAGACGAAGTCTCATGTAACCGAGATTACTACCTTCAAATTTGTGAATTCGCTACATAGTGTGCAGTACCATACCTAGCTTATGTGGTGCTAGGGCTTGAACCTAGGGCTCTTTATGCGTGCTTGGTAGGCACTCTACCAACTGAGCTCCTGCAGGTACTTATAACTATTTTCTGAGTTGATTTTGGGATGTTTTATATCTTTAGTTTTTAATGGAATGTTGCTATGAACCTTTTTATATATAACTTTCCTTGTTTAATTTCTTGGGATTAAAAATGTGAGAATTATTAGGCTGACAGACAGGAAACATTTTCTTGGTTCTTAATGTCTTGACATTCTGGTTAGACCTCCTATATTCAGAATGAGACCCATAAGAATTCAGGTGAAAGGGAGTTGAAGTCTGATGGGAATCCAAAAGAAAGCCAGCACGATTCCCTCTATGAAAGTGAAAAAGGAAATTAGAAACTCACCAGAACCTTTTAGGAAATGATGTTTCAGACGTCTTATGGCTTCATGGTTGGTTTCCCTTCCCTGTACATTTGTTGCCTTTCCTTTCTGTTCGGGTGAGCTTAGTCTGTGCAATCAGACAGACAAAGATTCCAGAAGCCTGGCTGTGTATAGGTGTAGCTTGCTTCATCAGGGTTTGCTGACTTAACTAGACTCTTTTCAGCTTCTGTGTCTATTGCTAAGTACCTTAACCTCTTTTCTTAAAGAAAAAGTTTTAAATGTGTTTAATGCAATTGTTTTTCTCCTTTCTCCAACTTCCCACCCAGGTAAATCAAACAGGCTGTGCATCCTATGGATGGACACTTAAAAAGTAAAACACAAAACACTCTGATCTTTAAAACATTTCAGTTGACCGGTACCTAACTTAGCCAGACACAGTAAATTGTATCTAACTTACAAACTACATAATTTATGTTAACATGAATTATCAGGGAGGAGCAATCCTAGATAGTTCAGTATTTAGTTAGTAAACAATTTCTTTTCCTCTACAGTTTGTGAAATCTTACTTTAGTAAATTGAGAGTTGTAAATTGCATGTAAGTGCACCTGTGTATGCAATGCCCATGGAGGCCAGAAGAGGGCATTAGATTCCCCCTGGAACTGGAGTTATAGATGGTTGTTAGCTGCCATGTGGGTGCTGGGAACCAAACCCAGGTTCTCTGCAAGAGCATTCAGTGCTCTTAACTGCTGAGCTATCTCTCCAACCCCAAGAATGCTCTACATTATAAAATGAGCTACAAATTAATTGAAAAAAAGTTAAATTTAATAAGCTTGAGTTGATTATGTTAACATATAAGATCATATTCTTTCTGGCTTGACAATATAGACAAATATGAATATCTTTAAAAAAAAACACAATAAAACAAAGCATGTTTATTCAGTAACAGCAACAATAACACATTTTAGAATTCTGACATACCTGGGATGGAGACATGGCTTAGCAGTTAAGGGCACACTAACTGCTCTTGTAGAAGACCCAGATTCGAATCCCAGTACCCATATGGTGGCTAACAATAATCTGTAACTCCAGTTCCAGGGAATCTGACTTCCTCTTCTCTCCTCCATGGGCATTGCATGATACAGGTGCACTTACACACATTCAGGAATAATACTCATACACATTAAAATTTCTTAATGGTTTCAAATTCTTGGAATGTTACTCTTTAGATCCAGGGACTCAGTATTTTCAGCAGTTCACAGAAATTTAAGAATTATGATTATTTTAAACTTTTATACTTCTTTTTGTTGTTGTTGTTCTTTTTGAGACAGGGTCTCCCTGTAGCTTCAGCTCATCTGGAACTCACTATGTAGACTAGGCTGCCCTGGAACTCACAGATAACCACCAGCTTCTGCCTCCTTGAGTGCTGGGCTTAAAGGCGTGCGCTAAACATGCTTCTAACAATCTTTACTTTGCATCTTTTCCTTTAAAAGTTTTATTTAGAGATAGGATCTCATTATGTAACTCTGGTTGGGCTTCAACTCTTGCTCCTTTTCCCTCATCCTAAGTGCTAGGGATCACAGGTATGTGCCACCACACTGGGCCTGAGTAGCTTTATTTTGTTTTGTAAGTTTATAAGTTTTGTTAAAAATGGTTCTGGCGAAGCCATATATTTAATAAACTAAGGTTTGTCCAACTTAAAAGCAGGTGTTTTCTAAGTTCTAAAATAAGAGTAAGGAACAATGAATTCCATGTTTAGGTATAATTTGCTTCTTTTTTGAATCTTGTCCATTAGCCTCAATTTGCCAAGGATAACCTTGAACTTCTAGTCATCCTGCCCCTACCTCTTAAGGGCTACAATTAGAGGTATATGTGCCATCATGCCTAGTTCATGAGGGGTATCAAACTCCGCTTTATGCAACTAGGCAAACATTTTACCAACCCCATTACATTCCCAGGTTCCCCCCTTCAAAATAGTACATGTTTACTTACTGCTTTTAAAAATATTTTATTTATTATTTTTATTTTATGTATATGCATGTATGGCCTACATGTAGGTAAGCGCACCTGTGTCATGCAGTGCCCGAGGAGGACTGTCAGATCCCCTGGAACTGGAGTTACAGACTGCCATGTGGGTGCTGGGATTCGAACCCAGTTCTTCTGCAAGAACAGTGTTCTTTTTTTTTTGTCTTTTTGAGACAGGGTCTCCCTGTAGCCCCAGCTGTCCTGGAACTCAATATGTAGACCAGGCTGGCCTGGAACTCACAAAGATCCACCTGCCTCTGCCTCCCAAGTGCTGGGGGTAAAGGTGTGTGCCACCACACCTGGCAACAATCAGTGTTCTTAACTGCTGAGCCATCTCTCCAGTCCCTACTTACTCTTTTTTGTTTGTTTGTTTTTTAAAAATATTTTCGAGTCAGGGTCTCATGTGTAACAGGCTGGCCCTGAACTTACTACGTAGTCGAGGATGATTTTGACCTTATGATGCTTCTGCGTCCACTTCCGGAGTTCTGGGATTACAGGCTTTTGCCGCCAAAGCTGGTTATTATGTGGTGCTGGGATCAAACCCAGGACTTCGTGCCTGCTAGGCCAGTATTCTGCCAATTAAGCTACACCTCAGCCCCATAATTTGGTTTCTTTAATCATCTGTTTTTAAGACTCTTAAGAATTGATCATTAAAAATCTTAAATTCTTAAATTTTTTTTTGTATTAAAAGTGAAAAAGTTAATTGACTTGCTTTAATTTGCTTTATTGTAAGTGTGTCCTAGGGGTATAATTATGTCTGTGTTATGTGTACTACCTTTTCCACAACATACTGGGGGTAACATGAGAGTAGACACTGCTGTGTAACTTAAATATATTTATAGCAATACTTATAGCTACAACCTAAACACAAAAACCATTTTTACTGTAAGTTTAGCAGAAACTCTGAGCTGAGCACATATGATGTCTATACTGAAGACAGATCTGGCTAGGTAGTCATATTATACCTTTTTCCTTCCTGCAGCTGTTGAGTCAGTTTAATAATAGAGCTCTTGTACTAAAGCCTTTTTCTTTATGGTAGGTGTAGAAGACAGTGATGACAATGTATGGTAACTTGTCTTATTCATAAAGTAAGATAAAAAGATTCAAGAAAAGCATCTATTTTCTAATATCAAATGCCGTATCAAACCAGTCTGATTTTTATACTTCATTATATTTTCATGTTCTTGTTAAATCTCATTATAACAAGAGGCTGCTTGTTAGTCACTGGAATAAAGAGCTAGAGGTTGTCTTAATCACTTCTGTCTTTCTTTTAAAATTTTGCTACTTTTAATGACTTCAGTTTGTTCGTAATTGTTAATACCTCTGTTTTCATGCATAAGTTAGTATATATTAATATTAGAATAAAGGAGAAAAAAGCTAAGTGTTAAATAAGCATCAGAAACGAGGCTGGAGGTATAGTTTATGTTAGCACATGCATGGGGTTCTGGGTTTAGTTCCTAGCATTCTCCCTCCATGCCCCCCTTCCCCCCAAAGAGGATAGTTGAGAAAAAGGTTTCCTTTTATTAGAATCTTTGCATGTGGTTTAAAATGAAAGGATGTACTACACTTTCTAGTTCCCACCCATCTGCTTCTCATAGTATAGTTCAATTGTAGTTGATCGAATGCATGTTTTAAACAGCTAATTTGTTTAGGTTTAGAATTGTAAATCAAACAGCCAACTTGTTTAGGTTTAGATTTGTAGATCAGATCTGAAATGCTGCTTTAAAGAGCAGAGTTTTATTGCTGGACATGGTGGGGCACACCTTTAGTCTCAGCACTTGGGGGCAGAGGCAGGTGGATCTCTGAGATCTCTGTGAGTTCGAGGCCAGCCTGGTCTACATAGTGAGTTCAGGTCAACTGGCGTTTCAGGGAGACCCTGTCTCAAAAAGACCCCCCCCCCCAAAAAAAAAATCAACAACAAAAAAAATCAACCAAACAAAAAAAGAGCGGGGTTTTATAAGTTTAATTTTTTATAACTAACTGAAGTTGTTTTGTCTTTCTCTTTGTGCCACCTGCCTCCCCATTTAGGATTTGTAGTTCACATGAAGAGAAGCACCATGGAGTTTTACGAGTCAACATATTTTATTGTCCTTATTCCTTCCATAGTTATTACAGTAATTTTCCTCTTCTTCTGGCTTTTTATGAAAGAAACGTTATACGATGAAGTTCTTGCAAAACAGAAAAGAGAACAAAAACTGATTCCCACAAAAACAGATAAAAAGAAGGCAGAAAAGAAAAAAAATAAAAAGAAAGAAATTCAGAATGGGAACCTTCATGAATCTGATTCTGAGAATGTACCTCGAGACTTTAAGTTATCTGATGCTTTGGCGGTGGAAGATGAGCAAGTTGTACCTGTTCCTTTGAGTGTGGCTGAACCTTCCAGTAGTGTTAGGGAAAGAAAGAAGAAGGAAAAGAAACAAAAACCCTTATCCGAAGAGCAAGTCATCAAAGAAAGTGATGTATCAAAGAGTCCAGCCAAAAAAGTGGAAGCTGTCCCAGTTACAAAGCAGCCCACCCCACCCTCTGAAGCAGCTGCCACGAAGAAGAAACCAGGGCAGAAGAAGTCTAAAAATGGAAGCGGTACTATCATCTTTTTTACTTCATTGCATGATTGTATGAGTCTGAAACAGATGGTTTACCTCACTGTGTTTGCTTTTGTTAACATTAATTGCTGATAGAAATTAGTAATGATAACAAAGCAGGATTTAACATTTTAAAACTAGAAAAGTCTTAATGGATATTTATAAATTTGACTTTGATAGTTTTACTGAAATGACTTAAGAACTTGTAAATATCAGCAATTAGAAACTTCTACATTTATGCATCTGCTTTATACTAGGTACTGGGCCTACAGAGATGAATAGTGCATTTTCATGGTGGTCACATGCTAGTTGTAGACAGAAGCATAAATAGGTCATAATTATATAAAGCTCAGTATAATAGCAAAGGTATGTCTTACTCAGTGTAGGATTTCTAAGGTGGGTCACTTAGAGCATATAGCGCTTGAAATTAATTTTAAAGTTTGAGTAAGTGCTAGCTAGTTTTTCTTGTTGTTTTGGTGTGTGTCTGTCTGTCTGTCTGTATAGGAGAGGGTGGGAATAGGGTCAGGCCTCTATATACACAGATTCCATATTCTTGGCTATAAACAACATCAAACTGATAATATGTGAAAACACTTGAAAAATTGTCCATGTTCAGTATGTACAGACTTTTTATTTTTATTTTTTATTTTTTTTTGTCTTTTTGAGACAGGGTCTCCCTGTAGCCCCAGCTGTCCTGGAACTCACTATGTAGACCAGGCTGGCCTTGAGCTCACAGAGATCTGCCTGCCTCTGCCTCCTGAGTGCTGGGATTAAAGGCATGCCCCACCATGCCCAGCTAGACTTTTAAAATGGTCATTATTTCTGAGACAATACAGTATAGCAAAAGTATGTAAGTTACATTTAATTACAATGTCATTTTATGTAAGGCACTTTAGCATGTTCAGATTTTGGTATTGGTGGTGCTTTGTGGAACCGTTTCCTCTGTGGATATCAGGAGATGAGTGTTGTACAGTGGAAGGCCCTTGAGAAATGGCAAGTGATGTGTGGAACTGCAAGCAGTTTGCTTTATGTGAAGGGAGGGACTGAAATAATTTGTATATTCTGTTTATAGTGTTAAATTGGTTGTGTCGAACTTTAAATCTTTGCTTGTAGCTATGAAGAAGCCCAGTGGCATTAGATAAAAGTAAATAAAAGTAAGCAGTGCATATTTTAATGGCAAAAGATGACATGTAAGTCAGTGACAAAATGTGATTGATGTAGAAGATGTATAGAAAAATTAAGTATAGAAGAAATACAGAAACCAAAGTACTGTTATTCATGGGATTTGGGGGTAAGAGACTTCCCAAGGAGACATTGCCTCAGCTGAGTTTTCCTGATTGAATCACTTCACTGAGCAAATAGTGGGTCTCTCTACACTGACAGAATGCCATGTTGTTGGGGTACAGGGAAGTACAAGAATATAGTGCATTGTATGAGGCAGTGAACAAAGCTGAAAAAGTTAACTGTAGCTAGAACATGATGGTTTTTTAAAACCATTCTAGGTGATGGGACTTGTTAGATTAGTCATTGTTAAATTTTAATTTTCTATCATCTATCTATAAATTTATCTTTCAGTCGTCTATCAGTCACTTAGTTTATTGAGTGCGCTGAAAGGGAACAGTGAGTTGAACAGTAATTAGATTGCATTTGATTAGGTTTATAGTTTAGAAATAGTTCTTTGGGGGAATTTGTAAGGATAGATTCCTTGGGGCAGTTTTTCACATAGGCAGAAAGACAGTTCTTTCAGTGCTCCAATGTTAAGATTTAGGGCTGAACTATGGTAGTTCCAAAAGGAATAGGTAGAGAGCTGTACAAATTAAGAGTGTCACGATCAATCTCATATAGTAGTATGGTAGATAAAGAAGACAGGATCAAAGCTGATTTCCAGACTGAGTTTTTTGTTGTTGTTATTGCTTGTTTTTTGTTTTTGTTGTTGTTTTGAGACAGGGTCTCACTTTGCAGTCCTGGCTGGCCTGAAACTTGATAGGTACATCAGGCTGGCCTCCAACTGACAGCAGTCATCTGTCTCTGCCTCCCAAGTACTGGGATTAAAGGCGTGCACCACCACATCTGTCCCAAAGCAGCTCTCCAGATTTAGCTAATCTGGTCATCTTCCCATTTCTTGTGGCTAAGAATAGATATACATTTTAAATGGTTAGGGAAAAGACTAAGGAGGAACAATACTTTAAGAAATGCGGAAACTATCAATGAAGCTTCAGCGTCCATAAAGTTATTTTTGAGCATAGCCACTTACTTGCTTACACCTGTGACTAGCTTTCACAGTGGTAAATAGCAGACTTGAATGTTGTGACTGAACCTGTGGTGGCCTGCAAAGACTAAAGCATTTAGTGTCTTGCCCTTGACAATCCCTTGTTGGTGTGTGTTTTTAGCACTAAGATAAGGGATGTTCGAGACACTGATTGCAATTGGAGAAGAGAATGCTTTCAGTTTGTGTTTCAGGTGCTTACGTGGGTCATTTACATGGATAGCAACTGAGGGTGTGTAAGTGTGAGGGTTACCCACATAATACAGACTCAGAAGCTTTAGGTGTAAAGGTAGTAGTTGTGGGTATAAGTAAGATCATTCAATTGTGAAGATACCAGCATACAAGGTATTCCATGTTCCATAGCAATACACCAAGGAGACTCTAAAGAAATGCTATGAATGTAAGAAGAGTATTATGGGAACTGATTTTTTTTTAAATTGTATTAAAGTCTATGTAGTACACAAAGCTACTATTTGAACTATTTTTAGGTGTGTAGTTCTAAGGTGCTAAGTGTATTCACATTTTATATAATCGCCACCAGCCAGCTCCAAGAACTCATTTCATCTTTCCCAACTGAATCTCTGGCCCCTAGCAATCATCACTTTCATATAAATTTTTGTGACAGCCTTAATTAACTTAGGATAATGGGCAGGAGTTTTAAAAAAGAGGTAAAGACCAACAGAACAAAATGACAAATAATGGTCAGAGAATTAATAGGCATTATTTGTGGAGGATAGAATATAGGACACAGGAAATTTGGTTAATCCTTTATTGGAGTGGGAGAGATAAAAATCAGGCTGCAGTTAGTTGAAAAATTATTGGTGGGGGGCTGGAGAAATCGCTCAGTGGTTAATAGCACTGGCTGCTCTTGCAGAGGACCTGGGTTTGATTCCCAGCACCCATATGACTGCTAACATCTGTCTGTAACTCCAGTTCCAGGGGATCCAACACCCTCTTCTGTCCTCCAAAGGCACTGCGTGACTTGGGTGTACTTATACATACATGCAGGCAGTACACCTCTTACACATAAAATAAAAATAATAAAATATTAAAAAAGGAAAATGATGGATGGAAAAGGAGTATAGGCTATTCTTCATCAGTATAGAAGGAAATGGATACATTGGTAGGGAAGGCTTTTATTTTTGAAGTGATGGTTGACCATATTGTATGCCAAGTAGGGCTGGGAATGGTTCTGAAATGCGACAGAAAAGAAGGGCCACATACATTGACAATACAATATTATAGAGGAAGAAAGCCAGAATGAAGTTACTGGTGAGAGAGATTGAATATCAGACTAAGCTTTTAGTGGTAAAGCATTCTGGACATTATTTATTAATAGTTACATCTTTCTGATGTGTACATTGTTTGCTATGATGATTTCCCTCTCCCCCATTTATCTCTAATAAAGATGACCAGGATAAAAAGGTGGAAACGCTCATGGCACCTTCAAAAAAGCAGGAAGTATTACTCTTCCATCAAGAGACTAAACAGGAAGGTGGAGCAGGAAAGAAGAAAGTTTCATCAAAGAAGCAGAAGACAGAAAATGGTGAAATGTTTAGAAGTGTATTTTATAAATGCTAATTCTCAAGAAATATAGGACAGAAACTATGGAGACCTCATGTGCTAATTCCCAGTTCAGTGTGTGCTGTGCCGACTGTAATTCAAAATTCTCTTTAGCCTTGTCACTTGCATCACTTTGACAGATGTGCTAAGAATGTCTGTATTAAAAAATATCTGAAATTTAAAAAGGACAGAGTATTTGTAATTCTTGGATTTGAAAAATAGTAATAGTGTGTACAAGCTATTAGAATAAAAATATTTCTGAAAAATTTATACTTAAATCCCCCAGACATTAAAAAAATTTTTTTTCTTTATTATTTTTATTTTGTGTGTATGAGTGTATTGCCTGCATGTCTTGTGAGTGCACCTGTGTTATGCAGTGCCTCGGAGGTCAGAAGAGGGCTTCGGATTCCCTTGGAACTGGAGTTAAGGACGGTTTGTAGCTGCCATGTGGGTGCTGGGAATCGAACCCAGGTCCTTTGCAAGAGCAGTCAGTGCTCTTAACTGCTGAGCCATCTCTCCAGCCCTCCCCTAGACATTTTTTAAATATAATTATGAACTCATGTTAATCAGACAGACTAATTTTTAAGTTATTTGTTTTGGTGTTTTGAGACAGGGTCTCTCATAGTGCAGGCTATCCTTCAGTTCATTATGTAATTGAGGATGACCTTGAACTTCTGATCCTCTGGCCTTCAACTCCCCAGTGCTGGGATTACAGATACGAGCTACCAAGCATGGCCACTCCAGGTTTTGTCTGGTGCTGAGGATTGAACCCAGGGTTTTCTGCATGCTAGATGAGCACTCTACTAACCGAGCTACATCCCCAGCCCCAATAATCGGCTTCAGTGTGACAGTCCACTGAAATTTCCATGTATCTGTTTATAGGCCTTGGGTCATCACCTGCACTGTTACCTTTTCGTTTCTCCTTCCTCCTAGTTTCTCTCTGCTTCCTTCATAGTCCTGCTTGTACTGTCAGGCCTTTTTTTAAGTTTCCACATATGAGAGAAAACATGCAGTATTTGTTACGTTTTTAATGTCACTCAAGATTATACTTCACATTTGGTAGATCTAGTATTACCTTGAATTTCTAATTATTTCCTACTTAAAATTTGCAGTTAAAAGTGACAGAGCAATTTTATATTTTCCAAAATTTTCCAAGGAAATTTATAATTTTTCCAAGGAAATTTATAAATAGTGTTGGCCTCTCAAATCAACTAGTGCCAGAAAATAGCAAATTTGGAAAGAGAAATTACGAAATTTTAGTTGTATTAAAATTGTAACATCAGATATCAGTCATGAGAACAGTATTACCTCTATGTATTTGATGCAATTAAATGTTTACCAGCTTCATAACAGTTTTTCAGGTGAGGCCTATCCAAGGCTTTATGCTTGCTGGGCAAATGCTCTACCATTGAGCAGCATCGTCAAGCACTCTTGGCTTAGTTTGTGTTTTTGTTTTTGTTTGTTGGTACAAGATAGGAATGTAGTGAGAGTTCCACCTGGGTATAAATGTTTGTTCAAATTCTTGTTAGATTTTTTTCACATTAAAATTAGGAGCAAAATCAGGAGGCTTCCTTCCTCCACTCTTAATGCTGTTCTGGAAGTTTTGGTAAATATAGTAAGATGTGGGGCTGGAGAGATGGCTCAGCAGTTAGAGTACTGTGTGCTCTTGCAGAAGACCCAGGTTTGATTCCCAGCACTCACATGATGGCTAACAACTGTTCGTAACTCCAGCTCCAGGGGATCTGACGCCCTCTTCTGTCATCTGTGGGAGGGTAGTGCATGACACGGTTGTACTTACATGCAGGTGTAACACTCATACACATTAAATAAATACAAATTAAAAAACATATAGTAAGATGGGCCATAGAAATTAAAGGCATGACTATTAAAATGAGCAGCTCTCTGCAAAGAAAAATGGCTGGTTTTTGTGCTTCACATGTGAGAGGAAATTTAAAACGATCACTTGTGGGTTGGCAGAGTGTTTTCCTAGCATTTGCAGAAGCTCTGGGTTTGACCCCTCCTCACCCCATCAAACCATACATGGAGGCACATTCCTACACTTCAAACACCTGGGAGGCAAGAGGATCAGAAGTTCAAATTCATCCTCTCGGTATAGTAAGTTCAAGACCACTTATAAGAACACTGACTGTTCTTGTGGAAGACCTGGGTTCGAATCCCAGCACCTATATGGCAGCTAACAACTGTCTGTAACTCCAGTTCCAGGGGATCTGACAGCCTCTTCTGCCCTCCGCAGACATTGCACAACACGGGTACCCTTACCTACATGCAGGCAATACAAGCATATACATTAAAAAAAAGTCCAGTATCAGTATAAATAAAAATGGATTTCCTGAAGCACTAATGAAATGTGAACAGAATATTTCTGTTCAGACCAAAAATGACTGTGTGTAGTAGCACATGCCTGTAATTTCACCTTTCATGCTGAGGTATGAGGATCCCGAGTTCAAGGTTAGCCTGAGGTATATAGTGAGGTCTTGTCTCTAAAACAGAAAACAACCCCAAAAAGATTAAGTGAAAGCTAACTAAAAGCTATGTAAGAAGTTTTAGTACTATCAGAAAAGGTGTATTGCCTTTTTAGATGTATTGATTTATTATAAGAATATTAATGTGGTACTTTAGAAATCATGTTTTTATTTGTTAAGTTATGAAGCAAGAATTTAAATTGAACTAATATTAGATATTTGAAAATAACTGTACTTATCAGTAAATTTAATTATGCTTGTATATTGTTTACTCTGTTTAAAAAATCCCCAGTAATCCTGATCTTGTTTAACTTAAATTACAGTGTTGGTAGATGAACCCCTTATTCATGCAGCTACTTATATTCCTTTGATGGATAATGCTAACTCAAATCTTGTGATGGATAAGAGAGAAATTGTTGATCTGGTTAAACCTGACCATGTAGAAGGGATCCAGAAATCTGGAGTTAAAAAACTGAAGATTGAAACTGACAAAGGTAATATACAAAATGTAATATTACATTGTAAAATTGTATTTCTGCATTTCGGACTGAAGAACATTTTCTCAAGGACTCAATGTATTGAAAAAAGACTAATAAAAATCCTTGAAGTGAAAGACTTGTGAGCAGTCTTCTAGTTCTAGTTTTCCACATGCAAACCCTTGTTACCTGAGTAATTTTTAATGCAACTCCAGGTATATAGGTTTGTGAAATCAGTATACAAATAAAACATTTACTGATAGTTAATCATAAAGGAATTTATTTTAAAGCAATTCTTTGTAATATATTACATATATAACTTTATATATACATAAATAAAATTATACTATATACGTGTGTATATATAT